GCGCGCTCGCGCGCGTGTGTGTGTGTGCGCGCTCGCGCGCGTGTGTGTGTGAGTACGCGAGCCCTCTTGGATCGACCAATGTGTTTCTTTAATCGCATTTCTTAATATAAATACTCTAATTTTTTAGGGATAGTATCCGTTATATATTTGTCTGTTTTAGAAAATGATGCATTGAAAAAAGATATCCAGCAAGTAGGTATTGAGCAACGGAAAAAATTACGTAATTATATTTATTTGAAATTTCCTATACCTCTACAGATTCGATCTGCAAATGTTTATGACATTTTTAAATTGTAATTTAAAAAAATGATGAAGGACTTGCAATAAGTTTTTGTACCGCTAGTAGTTAGGTTTATTGATAACGGAATGTTAATATTCAATAACCATGCACTGTCTAAAGAAGTGTGATTTATACTATGTTATAATAAATGTCTTGTTTTTATTTACTTATAATTATTCACAATGTTACCAGTAATATCCTCGCATAAATTCCAGCTAACCATTTAATAACACATATAATATTATGTGTATAATGTGTCAGTCTAATTACCTTCGTTCGGCGTCGATTTGCTTAGCGGTATCGGCTGTGAAAGAACCATATATGGCTCCTATGACGCCACCACAGGACCAATCAGCTACATCAGCTGACTGCTGTGGTCAAAGGGCATTTTTGTGTCATGTCGAAGTTCAAGTTTTGATAACGAAGTAGTAGTCTCTCATGTAGTAGTAGCATTACTACCAGTACCATGGCATCTAAAGATGCCATTCTCAAGGTTTGGAATTTCATAAGCAAAGGCCGAGGATTCGACCGTGTTATGAAAGATGTAAGAAAACAGCTCCTCTCGAACGTCGAACGTGTGTAGTGACCCTAGGGGCATAGTACTATAGCCCGTGTTCATTAACTGCCGCAGGCCACAGGCACTTGAAGCATATCAACTGTAAGCGCACGGCGCCGCCATTGCGCGTACACTAATACATAGATATAATACTCTTATACTCTTATATACTTATACTCTTATACTCTCATACTCTTATATCTATGTATTAGTGTACGCGCAATGGCGGCGCCGTGCGCTTACAGTTGATATGCTTCAAGTGCCTGTGCCGCAGGCGGCCTGCGGCATTCAGGCGCCTGCGGCAGTTAATGAACGCAAGCTATAGTACTAGAGCTACCCTAGGGGTAAACCGACCAGGCTCTCCGACTGTTACACGTCGTAGGACACGTAGTGTTAAGCGAGATGGGAACTTGGGGCTACCCTAGGGGTAGCCGACTACGGTATGACAGGCCTTATATAGTTAACGCGTGTTTAGTTGTATGGATTCAGTGTTCGCTCCTGCCGTGAGGCAGGACGGTGATGCCCGTAGCAAATAACAGATGGTACCAGTGGAACAGAACACAGTTAGATTCGGTTAACTGTACGGTTATAGTTTTATTGCTTCCTACTAGCTTGCAAATAATTCCCCTGCATTCGTATATGCAGCGAATCCTATAACCACTAGACTACGATTAAAGAATTAACGCGTCGCCGGCTTCGTCTTCCTCTCTCCCGTTCGTCCTCGCTTCGCGTAGACCTAGGCAGCCTCCAAGGGTGTCTCCCTCGTAGTCGCTCCTGGCTCTACCTAACTGAAATCTCGTTCTTCTTCACTTGTAGTGAAAGATCCCGGCTGAGCCTCCATTTTACCTGTAGTCTTCTTTCCTTCCCGTTTTATTCCCCTCTCCCATTGTTCTACCTACCTGAAAACCCGTGCTTCTATTCCCTCTGTTATCTTACTTTCTGAGACCTAAAATGCTTTCTCCCTCGTTCTCTTCTTCTTCTTCTTCTTCTTCCTCTTCTTCCTACCTAAACCTAACCTGAAAAATAACCTGCTCGGTTCGGCGCGCCTTATATACCTAGCTGGCAACGCCTCCCCCCCCCCCTACGTGCCGTTGTTTAGCACGCGTTGTCAAAACACTACTCCCCACGCAGATTTCGTTAGCTGGTGCAATAGTTTCACCTGCTGACGCAACCCGTGGCTGATACGATTATTGCACCATCTGATGCAACTCGTTTCTAAGTAAATATTCCTTTCTTCGACAACTTAGACTATTCATTTTATTCAAATCTCGTATATTAATTATTATGCTGACTAATAGTACATAACCGCATTGATTATTATACTCTATACATTGCGTTATCGCTTTTCGCGTATACGCGCCTTGTTTTCCCGGGACCCCATCCCTATGATCCAAGATGGCTGCGCCCAGGAGATGATCGTTATATCTGTGCTGCCTAGACGATCTGCAGCCCGGATATCCGCGCGAAGCGCTCGCCCAACGCCGCCTCGCGGCGACAAAAATGACTTATTCGCTGCCCTCTATTTAGAAAACATCTACCGAGGCCCTCTGGGTACAACAGAAAGCCGCATAATCGGTCAATTGAGGAGTTGTGGCGATTGCAGAAGCCCTTTCGACTTTGCACGTAGGGCGAGAATAAATCCAAATGCTCGTTTTTGTTGGTGTGTGGGCTCGGCGCGCGTCCTTTTCGTGTTAGAAAAATAATTTTCCCTTTTCGCTGGTTCATGCCCTGACATTAATTTGGAAGTTATCGCGACCCATAGATGGCGCAACGAGTCCATCTACGTACCATTTTCAAGTTAAAAAAAAAAAACGCTTGGCTCGATGACCTAGACTGCCGCGCGGTGCACAGTTCGACACGCTAGCGTAACTCACTTCAGTGTAGCCAACGATAGTTGGCTGAGTGAAGGTCGGTAGCCGTCTAGCCCTGCAATGGTCATTACCGCTCCGACTTCCCGTATCCATCTTAACGCACCAATGTGATGTTCTGATGTTTGCCATTATGATTATGACGATGTTATCTGGATTCTGGAAAAGCTCCGCCTTCGTGGCGTCAGCGCGTGGGCGTGGCGTCGTGGCGAGAATTTCGTCAGTGCAGGGAACAAATTTCCAGCCAAAAATTTGCATAGCAAATGTGCCTATACAAAATAAATTTTGCATAGCAATTGGATAAATTTGTATAGCATTTTTTTTTTCAGACAATCACCGTGCAAATTTACACCGCAGTGCATGCTTGGCGTTTATCGTGTCTGCCTGTGACAGGCCACAGCTAGCTCAAGTCTAGGACACACTAGCGATTCTGCACGCTGCCCGACAGCGTTTAAACAGCGTGCGAGCTTGGCACTCGTCGCTCGCCAATGTCGAGTGAAAATAATATCGGGCGGGCGAGTGAAAGCTAAAGCTGACTCGCCATGTTGGCGAGTAAAAATAATTTCTAGAACTTTAATCAAATGTTGGTTCCTTACGTTATATATCCAAACATTGATGAAATACAGTTCTAGCGATTGTGAAGGGCGGCTATCTGACTCCTCGACCACGACATCCTCACTTTATATTATCAAAGGTCGCCGAAGAAAGCAGCCCGCGGAGCGTGCAGCGCCAGCACAGCGTGGCTGTGTATACGTGCCTGGGGCGGCATATTGATTGATGTAGGGAGGGGGGGGGAGTGCAGGATTGTTTAAAAGTCACGTTGGCCCGGTGTTAACAAATCAATAAAATCGTCGGGTAACGTGGATTTCATTGACGCGGCCAAGCAGCCAAGAATAAAAGTAAATTGTAAACATGTATGTTTCCGTTTACATCTCGCATGGGCTCGATCGCACAACTGCGATTCATAAAAAAATATGTGTAGCAAATGGCTGAAAATACAATCGCGAATTGCCGATGCGATACCGGGAAAATTATTCCCTGGACTGTCTGTGTGATTTCGCGTGACACAGTTCTATACGAACAGAGACATTATGTTTTCATAAGAAGTCAAGTTAGTCAACACTGTTCTTCAAATAGAAACAAAGATCGAAGCCTGTTGGATGCAGTATTTGTTTTGAAATCGTTTTGAGAGCGTACGTACAGCATTTTTGCATATATTACATCGTCCCAGCGTGCTGCTTATAGCAAAAACTTCGTCTACCCTGCGGTCGAGCGGGGGGGGCCCTGATTGCTCTTGTGCCAGAAAAACTTCGCGAGAAAACTTGGGAATCGCCTGCTCGCACTTACCTTGACGGTGCAACCCCATATATACCAGCTGCCAGCTCCATCCATAGCTCCCTACACCAACACAACGTCAATAACACCCTAGTATTCTAACCCTAGCAATACCGTTTCTTTTGAGCTAGTCGAATCTATGATCTTGCAGTGCAGCCTTGATCTTGCAGTGCAGACTTGCAGGTCATACACTGATATGTACAGTCTTGTCGGGTTATTTACATTACTATCCAATATCATAGTGACGGGAAGTTGTACTTGCAAAGTAGTTGTAGTGTACGGCACTTGCTGTATACTGATGCATAGACTGATATTTGTTAGCTAAGGCTATATAACTAGTAAGTGTACTGGGACCGTAAATTAACCGACTATTACAACTAATTCATAAGGCGCTCATGTAATACAGAAATGAATAAACCCTGAGGCTGAGTGTTCAATTATATTTATATACAGGTTATTTTTACTGCCTATAGCCTAGAGTCCTAACATATATACGATGTATTGCGATGTAATGTGTTTGTCGCCGTTTTATGCATGTATTGCTACGTGTTTCTCGGCTTATATAGCTTAGTCACTCGATGGGTAATCGAGGTGGCGAGCGAGTCCCAGTCTATATAGCCTTTGTCCTTGCAGCCATTTCCATTTACTGGGCAAGGTTTGCGAAACGCTGAGAATTTCGTCAGTCTTTCTGTGATTTTGCCGTCACACAGCTCGGTTACGAAGAGAGAAATTATGTTTTTATAAACAAGTCAACACTGTTCAGGTCCGCCAAATGTCTACCCTCTGTTTCCCCACTAAAATTGCGGACTGTTCGCTGGCAGCTATGGATCCGTGCGCCGGCCAATTCATTCGGCGCAGATCCATAGCTGCCAGCGCTGCATTACTGTCGTAGGACGTTCCCGCGGGTCGCGTGCGCCTTGCCGCGGAATTGCGCGCAGAATCTCTGCCGCTTATAGTGCCAATATTTTTTTTTGCAGATTCGCATCTTATCTGCAGGCGAGGGAAGGTGTAGCATAGAGTTCGCAGGTAACGAGGATGTGACAAACAAAGGCGGATCCCTCATGGTGGTTACACAGCAACCCTGGTTGACAATGTTACGACTCTTGCCGTTAATGACAACGGGCAACGCCCGTACCTGGTGTCAGTGTTAATATGTCTATCACGTAAGCACTTTTAAATAATAATCACTGTCACTGATTATTACATGATATAAGAATCCTATTATAATACCATCACTGATGGGTAACCCTTTAGAATAAGTTCATCTACAATGTAAAGTGTATTATGTGTCTTAGTGTCATCAGTAATTTGAAAAGTCCACCATTGCTGTGGAAATACAAATATGTGATGTACTACTTGCCACTACATTATTTTCTAATTCACACTCCGTTATTGGGTTCCACAAACACACATTGAGATAACCTGGTACTCACACATTCTGGCACGCATTAGCAGGCCCGTAGCAGGGGGGCGTTCGGGGGTTCGAACGAACCCCCCCCCCCGAGCCCCCCAGCCAAAAAATTTTGTTTTTTGCCAAATTTGCAAGAATTTTACCTCAGGTCGCTCCCATTTTAGTGTAAATAATTTGCACAAAATCTCCATCGTGCAGGAGGCCGTGACAGTGAACACCCCCTCCCACACCTCCCCCGCTCGTCGACTTGGCTCCCTCGCCTGTCGCTTCGCGCCCGAGCACGTCGCCCGGGGCGTGTACAAGGGGGGGTCCAGACCCCCCAGACCCCCCCTTCGCGTCGCTCGCAAACTTTGGGTTACGTTTAAGACACCCCCTGGCGTTACAACAATTCTGCTACCGGCCCTTGCCGAGCAATTTGCCAACATTGCAGAAAAACGAACCCCCGCCCCCCAATATAAACGCTGGCTCTGCGGTCTGCATTAGCACATGCTGCATTATCTAAATTAAGCAAATTCTTGCACTCGGAAATACAGTTATGTGATAGAATATTGAACTCTGCCCCTGACAAACTATTTAGTACCAGACCCATAAGCTCTGTGGGTGGGACAAGGGGAGTAGCTGCCCCTAGATTTTTGAGCATAATAAAAAAAGCTTAGGTTATAATTGTAAGTAATCCTAAAATAAATGTAATAAATAATAGAACAAATACACAATTGTCCCTTCAGCGTAATCCTATCCTACATGTGATCAAGAGCTAATACCTCTTAAGGTATTATTAGCTCTTGATGTGATTTATTTCTTGAAAATGTTAACCTCCCTCCCCCCCCCCCAGGAATTTGCCTAGCCTACAGCCCTGATTACTCCAATACACTTAAAGTGAAGCTAAATTATTTTTATGCTATAAGAACTAGAAAGCATGTAGGAATTAAAGCGAATGGAAGATGAAATAAGACAATTACTGTAGGTTTACTACATAATTTGTGTTCAGTTGGTTCTGATTTATACTACATGTGCAATGTTTTGCAATTCAATGTTTGTTAGAAATGTTTTTGAAAAGCTTGAAAATGTTGATGCTTGTTTGCTTGCACACCATTGTTTCCACTATATACTACGTTCGCATTCACTAGCGAATTTACCTTACAGAACTTTTCAGCCTAGGCTCCAAGTGGAGGGCATTTCTTATTATAAGGGCCATTGCAGTAGGCTATGTTTTACTATTAGTTTTAGCAGGGGTGAATCAGAATAATGACAGATCTGTCTCTATTCACTCAAGGTTTTAGTTAGGTAATGCATGTATTTATTGTGAGGAGAAAGTCGGGGAGTCATTATAATTATAAAATATAATTACACTTTTGTGATTATAGCTACCAGTCAGACATGGAAAAAATTAAAAACTCAACAAAGCAGTTTTGCCGGGGGTGCAGTACAGTTGTACAGTGTCATGCCAGTGGTCACGAATGCTCATGCTTTAAGTTTATTTTTACAAACGAATGGGTCATTTTTATGCAATAAATATCCCATAATATGCTCACAGTCTTCACTATTGTTCCTCTTTAACTTTAAGTGTTAAGTTTAAGTGTGTCGAAGAGGAGAATGGTTCTGAGGGGGTGGAGTAAGTGAATGAGGAAGGGCAGGAAGGGGAAGAGGTGTAGTAATAGAACAGATGTATATGATTGTAATGTTTTTCTTATATGTGTAGGTATATGAAGGCTGCTCAAATGAATGAAACACTTCTAGCAGATGCGGAGGTCAAAAAAGTTGGCAAGACATTAGCCTTTACTGATGCAACTCTCAGACGGAAATCAGACAGTTCTATTATAGCCCATGGAACCCATACGAAGTTTGTAGGTGGAGCATGAGGGCAGGTTGGGGTAATTCATTGTTAAATAATTTTTATATTATGTTAAAAGTGTGCAATTTTAAAACAATAAGAAGAATACATGCTGATCACTGAAGCGTATATTATTGCTTAACTTGTTCATGTTGGAAGAGTTATTTAATAACAATAAATCTGTACACAACTGTACATGTAAAGCAATTAGAACTTATGTGTATTTATGTATGTTTAAGGTTATAAGTTATGTATTTTGATATACGTATATATATATATATATATCATTCTTAATATTTCCTTGTAAATAATTTTAGTTATCTATTTAAAAAAGTGTTATAGATATTTTACTACTTTTTAGTCTATTACCTGCATGTTCTGCATCTTATCTGCAGGCGAGGGAAGGTGTAGCATAGAGTTCGAGGTAACCGAGGATGTGACAAACAAAGGCGGATCCCTACATGGTGGTTACACAGCAACCCTGGTTGACAATGTTACGACTCTTGCGTTAATGACAACGGGCAACGCCGTACCTGGTGTCAGTGTTAATATGTCTATCACGTGAGCACTTTTAAATAATAATCACTGTCACTTGATTATACATGTATAAGAATCCTATTATAATACCATCACTGATGGGTTACCCCTTTAGAATAAGTTCATCTACAATGTAAATGTGTATTATGTGTCTTAGTGTCATCAGTAATTTGAAAAGTCCACCATTGCTGTGGAAATACAAATATGTGATGTACTACTTGCACTACATTATTTGCTAATTCACACTCCGTTATTGGGTTCCAAAACACACATGAGATAACCTGGTACTCACACATTCTGGCACACATTAGCAGGCCCGTAGCCAGGGGGGGTTCGGGGGGTTCGAACGAACCC